TTACAACGTATACATTAGTTCATCAATACTACTATTAGGTGTTGAAAACTGGAAAGCTATTTATTTGAATGTATCTGCACGTGTACGGATAAGACCAGGTTTCGCGACTTTGTTAACAGCTTTTTAAAAATTCTTGTGCTTCTTTCCTTGATGAAAAACAATTTCTTTATAGTAATAACCGTAGCGAACGTCTCATTCAAAATGCTTAGAGTTAAAAAGTTCAGGTCATAACAGCTGAAATATAGAATGTCATGTGATGTACAGATTACGATCAGAAAAGTAGTGTATAATTCCAGTTGCTCCATCCGTTTTCAAATCATCCATAGCTAAAGCCAACCATTTTTCTCCTGTTTCTTAGAACATAAATTGTTATTGAAAGGGAAAAGTATATGTCAAAATTTTTGAATTTGTATGTGGAATAGCGTCAAGTAACTCACCTTAATTGGTTGCCCAAATACAACTTTAGAAACGTATAAACTAATTCAATTCTAATTTACATTAACTAGTTTATCTATTGCTTAGAATTGCTTTTGTTGTCTACTACGCGCGCACTTTATCCTATTGAAGAAAATCTTCGTAAATAATTTTGTAGGAAGCAATCATTCTGTTTAGATTCAAAAAAAAAATGATTTTATTCTTCTCTAGATTGGTTTTATCAAGCTTTTCAAACGGGTTACTAGACATTACTATTTATATGTCTGAATTCTTTATAGTAAAAAAAAGTTCATACTGTTGATTCTCAACTGCAACTGTTGAGTCTAAAAGATTTTTAGGACCCTTTACAATCGATTATCTGTTTTTTACATTCTTTGGTTTCGTTTTAGCCATTTTTGCGTCTTTAAACAGAGACCTCCATGGATCCTAGTGATGTGGTCCTACTTTTACAGTTTGCAACTTTTACACTTGCAGGCTCTTACAGAAATTCTGAGCAGTCAAATACCAAATGAAATGCATTTTTCAGAGAAAATTTTTGGCTTATTGAAAAATTTTTGTTTATTATTCTCCAGTTCAGAGTTTCTAACGTTGAGATAGGACCTTTTCGGTTTCTGTTCCAATCAGTTCAGTAGTTCCTATTTCCAAAAATCAGTGGTTTATTAAACAGTCCGCATCGTCGTTTGTAAGAAGGTATGTTATTTTTTATGCAGTTCAATGTTTCTAATACTTCGGAGAAATGTCTGCTGGAAAAACATTTGCAACCTTTTCTTGTAGAAGGCATTATTCTTACGTTAAGTTTTCTGTCTTATAAGATTGCCACTAATTCATGTAATTCGAAAGCATCTTAGAGTAACTAGTTGGAACTGGAACTAAGAGGACAAAGCCTGATTGACCTCCGAGTATGTGAAAAACCTCTGTTATGCAGGAAATAGTGTTTTTGACCTGCCGAGTGTTACAAAAGCCGACACGAGTAAAGTAGGAAAATTGTATCGTAGTACGTGTTGCAACTGTCTCTGTATGCTCGCTTCAAAACTCGTACCTAAGAAAATTACGATCGCGATAGAAAACAGACAGTGTTGCTTACACAGATATTCACGAAACTTCAGGTGATACGTAGCCTCCTGGAGCTTTTTTAGCTATTTCTGGTCGCAACTGTCAAGGTGCCTGTGCCTACAATTGCGCATTTCTATAGCAGCGATGTAATCAAGGCAGTGACCGTACGAACAAAATAATTTGCTGGCGGAAATTTCTGTTTTAATTATTTCTTCTTGACACTTTTACGGTATTTCAGTTATCGTCAGATATTCAGAGAAGTTCATCCTAGGTGCGGCAGCCGGTGTCAAACAAGTGACTCTGTGCAGTCCTCTCATAACTCACCGCCAAAAGAAGTTGCTGTCATTGTTATTCAAAAAAAGGCTTTCTTCAGTGCATTAAATACGTTTCCGGAACTGCGCAGTGTTTGTAGAAGGAAAGCTACTGTTTCAAAACTGTCTTTTCCCGCTCTTTGCTAGTTTTTAATTTAATATCCAATAGCAAAACTTCGGATTGCAGGTTATCATTACAATGCCACTTCTTACAATAAGTGTAAAATTTTTTTCATGCGGACGGTATTAACGGGGGCATAAGTATGCCAATCGAAGGACAAAGCAGTGCACACTTTTGAAAGGTAATTATACCTTGTTATTTACAAACAATTTTTTTCTAACCACATTTCGGTAGGTGAAAGATTTCAGCGGAAGAAGCTTAACTGTTTGAGATTTCTAAAGTGGTTTTAACTGAAGCAAATGATTGTTTGCAGGAAAAAGTAAATTGCAGGAGAGCGGATATTGTGTCGTGCTTATCCTTCGGAACGTTGTTTATTAATCGGTATAAATCCTTAACTGATACAGGCTCTCTCTGATAAAGCCCTACAAAAGTGCCACGAGGTGTAATTGCTTCTGCAACCTCAGATTTACTAAATAAGGCAAGGCAAAAATATTTGTACTCTGTTTAGACACTTTGCCGGTTTAGGCGTGTGCTGTCGGTGTGAAGTAAATAACCAGATTCCAATCCTTTCCTGTCCCTAGAAAAAACCCTGAAATTACGTTATTGCAATTTTCTTGCAGGTTTTTTCATTTAAAATCTCTTTATTAAACTAATTCAAACTTACTCCATTTGGTAGACAACGCTTTACAGTATCAGGCAAGAAATGTCTTGTAATCTTTAAAAGTATAATCTAACTGCGTTGTACGTGTAAAGTGATGTTACTTTTCTCAACCTGACATTTTACTTCTATATAATAATTTTTAGGTGGTTAAAGACTGGGCAAATGAAAATTTTTTTCACTGCAGAAGGCGGGATTGCAGGCGATCATATAAGTCTGGGCTGTATTGAATTCAAGAAGTGGTTTTTCCGGTACTTGGTGTTGTCTATTGAATTTGCTAAAACGATTTCCTTCTTCTCTTGCTTATCACTTCAAGACAAAGTCTGTTTTTGTGAATTGAGAACGTGAATTCAGTTGCTTTCTTTTCTCAAGACTTAGCAAAAGTTCTCTTTCAGATCTTGCCGGTGCGAAGTACAGCAATAACGGGAGCTTTGACTTCAGTTTTGTATTATTTTTACACGAAGAACACATTAATCTTTCCTGATGGATCAGTGCCTGTATAGTCAGGGTGAGTTATAAGAACTCCTGTTAATAACGGTGACGGAAACGAATTTAATCATGATTGTTTATGAATCTTCTTCAAAATAAGCAGCGTTTAATAAATATTTTTCTGATTTCTGATTTTTTAATGGTTTGAAAATCTGTTGAACATTCTTTGCTTGTAGTTTGTTACTTAAAAAATTTCACGTAACCTTTCCCCTTCTGGTCTTATTTTTTTGAGAAGAAATATAAAATTTTATTTTGTTGCCAGAGAGATAACGTAGAACACGCTCTTCTTAAGCTAATTGTCCTTGCAAATAAAGGTAAATAATTTCTTCTACAAAATTACTTACTACCGACTTCTTCTTCTGGCCATATTTTTCGTATATTTCTTCACTTGATTTATCTATTTTTTTAGTTCTAACAGCAGTAATATCACAATTATACATTTTCAGCCACGGAAAGCCTGAAATTGAAGGCGCATGCGTTGGGAAAGCTACAGAAGGAATAATATACAAAACTTTTTTTTGAGTATGCGATTATTTTGCAAGAGCCTTTCTCTTCTTCTGTTTTAATACTATAGCCTGAGTTGATGCTTTATCATTTTTACACAACTGTTGCTTGACCGCTGTACTTGTAAAGTGGATTTCAATTATTTAGTAGAAAAGTATGATACTTCGGAAGCCCTGACGAAATTTACCAATATTCTCGGTGCTGTTAACAGCTTTATAAAATCAGAAGCGAAATGCATGGACCGTATTTTGTTCCATGCAGCAGTCAGAAGCCCGTTTTCACGAACGGAATACTTCGGACCTTTTTCTCAAATTCTTGGAAAAAATTAGCGGTTGGTTGTCTTTTGACAGTTCTGCAGTAAAGTTTGAGTTAGCACGGAACAAACAAGCTTTTTTTATTGCTATTTTATTTCTGGAAACATATAATAAAAATTTCAAGAACAACTGTATAAATGAAAATTGAAAGGTTGATTAAAGATTAAAATTTGAAGAAATAGATTTTTTGGAGCTGTTATTAAAATAAACATTAGACATCGTTTGCGAACTACTATTGTATTTAGATTTTTGTGGGTAAATTTACAGAGCAGAGAATTAGCTTTAAAGATTTAACCCAGAATGTGATATTGCAGAAATAAAAGTGCAAAAAGGAGAAAATATCATTAAGAGAAATCATGAATTTAAAAAAAATTTTGTCCAGTTTTTGTTGATATGATTCAGGTCAATTTTGAAGTCGGGTGTAGCAAATTTAACTGCTGCATTTGACAAAGATAAATATGAACTAGTTTTTGAAAAAAGTTTTTAAAACTAAACTGCCAATCATTAACAGAAGTAACAGTTATAATTACGAGTTTTTCTGATCAGAGCCTTTTGAGAAATTACTTTACGATAAGAAGCATAAGTTAAAGAGTTTACGCTTAAATCTTCAAATGATGCGGATGAGTGCAAAACTTGAGTTAGCACTCGCAGTTCTACAACGAAATAAACACTGCTCGGCTGAGATTTCCAAATTCAACTTCTATTCTTTTTTTTTTTCCTATCTTGCTAGATAGTAGTTTGTTGAAGACTAAAAATTTTCTTATTTTTTTTCAACAGTTTTAAAAACATTAATGAAGTTTTCTGAGCATATTTGTCTGCATTTTTGAAAATCTTTCTGTTTCTAAAAAAAACATTATATTTAAATGTGGAGGACAAAGCGAAAACCGATTCAAAATCTTGAAAGAGTTATAAAATGTCCTTGTTACTACAACATTTATAGGTTTGTTTAAGGTTAGGCCAGACTGGAATAAATGGCAATATTTTATTGTCAGTTTGTAGCATCGTCCTTGCAACCTACGTACAAAAAAGTCTAGTGGTTTTCCTAGTCTGAGTACAATAATTTATGTCTTCCCAAATCTTTTAGATCCTTGTCGTTTTCGTTGTACAGACATTATTTACACAAGTTTCGGTCTCTGAACATTGGGAATCACTGCTACAAAAGCATTTACCACCCATGCACAGGCCCCCGGTGATACATGCAGGACCTTTACCACACGTGCAGTTATCGTTGTTATCGCGGCCGTCTGATAATTTTGCATCGCACGGTAACGTACAATTAGATGGTATACATCCAAATCCTTCGAAGCACTTTCTGCCTGTTCCACAGATATCAGCTGTTTTATCTGATCCAAAGCAAGCACAAATTCCATTGCACGTTTCACCCTCGCTTATGCAATCACTGTCACTTTTACAGCCTTAAAAAGTAAGCTGAGAAAAGAAAACTAAGAAGGAATTATGAGAAACTTTTGAAACATAACCTTAGATAAAGAACTGACATTTACTCGTTAGTGTTTCAAGAAACATATTTTTCAGCTACTTCATTTTTTACTTCTCAGGTGAAACAAAAAATGTTTTAATTTTCTTGACATATTAAATCTAAACAGCATTTTCTTTGTACGTGCTTTGCAAAAATCTTTTCTAATTAGAATTACGTTTTACAAGTCAACGACAAAGTACAGCAAACAGAGCATTTTAACGTTATTACCGGGAAAATTGCACTTTTATAAACAGGAAAAAACCAAAGACTTGGAATCACTTACTTATAAGCCGTTTGTTCTAAGCCGTTTGCATGCGTAGCCAGAAATACAGCGATTGGCAGAAGGACAAAACAATTCATAGTTTGATGATCTCTCTCTCTTTCTTGTTACTGATTTCGAGTCCACTCAGTGACCACCGCTTTTATCCAGTAAAAATCATGCACACTCGAGGACGTTTTTCCATTTTGTTGACTTTTCAAAAAGTCTGACTGGGCAAAAACAGCTAATCAAATTTTTCGTTTTACTTTCTCTAAAAGTATTCTTTTTGTAGCGTCCGCTTTATGGCATAATTTGTTCCGCTTCCTTCACTTCCTATTTCTTTCTTCTCAGTTATTCTTGTTGAAGGGACCGCTGTTCTAATATCCTTTTATAAAAAACCCAGACATTATTATTACTTGAAAAAATTTAAAAAGAAGTAATTTTTTTAGTTTTGCTATGTTTGTATGAAACTGTTACTTTGGTTTGAAAACGGGCTGAGTTTAATGTTTATAAAAAACTGTAAAAAAGAGCTTTTGTTGAAACTTTTACGAGAACTATAATTCCATATAATTTTTCGTAGATTGCCAATAGTGACCACTTTTCTCATTTTGGAGGTACGGTTCTTGGGTAAATTTTGTAATTATTTATAAACTAGTCAAATATTACAAAGTGCTGTTCAGGAAAAGTATTTTGATTTGTTTGACTGTCACCAAAATTAAATACGTAAAGGATAAATTTTTCCTAATAGCTGCTGCGATTTCTGCTCTTACTATTGTCGAAATAAGAAAAACTTTTTGTGTTTTAACAGCGTTAATTAAACACTGTTAATAGAGTAGGGAAAAATGAGGATCATGTAATGAACGTTTTCATAACAAAAACGGTAACAGTCTAATGCTTAAAGAGCAGTTACCAAAAATCCACTTTATCCAGCTTCTAAACAGATAGTGCTGAATAAACTCTACGCTTAGCGCTGCTTCCTGTACGCACAATGTTCTACTGTTCAGGATTATTTCACAACTCTTCCGGAAAGAAATGTTGTATTAATGTAAATGAACAAATAAATAAATAAGTAGTAGATAAATAAACAAATAAATAAATAAATAAATAGATAAATAAATAAATAAA